GCTATAGAAGACAAGACTGAGAACAGCAGCAAGACACAAGGTGGTTATACTGCATCAGCAAGGTCTCTCTCAGGGAAAGATTTCAAAGCAGACAGGGGTTTCAAGATGTGCTGTTCAAGCTCTTTTGAAAAAGCACCAAGAAACTAGTAAGACTGAGGACTGCAGACACAGTGGTTGGCCAAGGGAACTTAATACAGCAGATGAAAGGCACATCATGCATACTTCTCTTTGACAGCAGGAGATATCCAGCAGTGCCATCAGCATAGAACTGACAGAAACCAGTAGAACCCATGTAAACCCATCTACTGTCTGGAGCAGGGGCGGACTGACAACTCATGGGGCCCCTGGGCAATAGGGGATCATGGGGCCCCTGTGTCCTTGCCCAAACTCAAAAAAGCCTATGAAAAAGGTACCAGGGGCATCTCATGGGGCTCCCTACTGACCCGGGGCCCTCGGGCGGTGCCCGAGTTTCCAAATGGTCCTTCCACCCCTGGTCCGGAGACGTCTAGCCAGAAGTGTTTTTTGTGGAAGAAAAAGCCATATCTCTGGTGTGGAAACAAGGCTAAGCAACTCAACTATGCAGGAAAACATAGGAACTGGTGTGCAGGAAAATGGCAGCAGGTTCTCTGGACTGATGAGTCAAAACTTTGCTGTTGCAGGAGGCAGTTTTTTCACCAAAGAGCTGGAAAGCTGTGCAATAATGTACAGGCAACAGTGCAGCATAGTAGAGGTGTCTAACAAGTTTGGGGCTGCATTTCTGCAAATGGAGTTGGAAATTTAGCCAGGACCAACAGTGTCCTCAATGCTGAGAAATACAGGCAGATACTTATCCATCATGCCATTCTTAATGATAGAATTCAATTACTTGATATATACTGAGACATGTCTGGTGTATACTGTACTGTTTTCTAATGGGGTCAAATTGACTTTGATTTTCAACTGCACTGATGAGAAAATTAGAAGGAATAGGATAGAAATGTTTTCTCGAAAAAACAAAATTTTAAGAGCAAATGTGTTTTTTTTGTTTGGGAAGGTCCATTCATTCCAATATCAAATGATAAAAATAAATGTCTTTTGAGGTATTTTGAAAGACATTCATCTTGTTATCAACAGTACTGAGGAGAATTTTCGTACCGATGTTCCAGAAAATGATCAAAATTCTACAAGTGTACTGTATGGATAGCTTTACCTTGAACTTTTGAAAAAATAATGCTCTTTGAATGTGATCTCATTTGACCCTTATTGCTCTTCATCAATTTGTATGTGTTCTTTTCTGTAACCTACTTTGCAATTGTCACACTCTTCTTCTTGACAAAAATGGAAAATCTAATAAACTGAGTGTTAAAGACACTCAGCGGCCTGCAGTATGAGATGGTGGTGATCCACAGGACCAGGGGCGGACTGACCATTTGGAAACTCAGGCACTGCTTGAGGGCCCTGGGTCAGTGGGGGCCCCATGAGATGCCCCTGATACCTTTTTCATAGGCTTTTTTGAGTTTGGGCAAGGACACAGGGGCCCCATGATCCCCTATTGCCCGGGGGCCCCATGAGTTGTCAGTCTGCCCCTGCACAGGACCCTGCTAAGGATTGGACTGGAACATAGCTGAGACTGTCACTTCTGTAAGTCTTCATCTGTAACTAATGTCGGGATATGCTGCCCTCTACTGTTAACTGATAGAATCACATTGTAATATATAATTATGTATGTCACTTCCTGACTCTGAGGTTGTTGGGAAAAGATCCTGGAAGGAGGAAGTGGTAAGAGAGAAGGTCTCAGCCACATCTCCCGTCCATGCTACTATTGCCAGATCAGAATAGACAAATATATGCAAGTAATCATATGTTCTAATAGATTAACTGCAGCTGAATGCTTGTGACAGACAGTGTATCTCTGTCCTATTTCTGTCCAACATGTGCAGAGCCAGATAATTAGGACTTCATTCCAGACTGGTTGAATAAGAGCTGGAGGGTCTCCTCATCCCTGCAGATCTTGTCTTCAGCTCTCCTGCACAAAGACAGATGCTGCATCATCCTGGGGGGCCCCTGCAATGTGACTTTACTGCAGCATTCATCTGGAGGTACAGTTGTGTTCAAAATAATAGCAGTGTGTTGAAAAAAGTGAATAAAGCTCAAAATCCTTCTAATAGCTTTTATTTCCATCCACACAAATGCATTGGGAACACGACACATTCTATTCCAAATCAAAATATGAAGAAAAATATATCAAATTTGTGTTGTTCCTCTAAAAGAAATTGAAGAAAAGTGAATATTAGACTGTTCAAAAAAATAGCAGTGTTTGTATTCTTTACAAACTCAAACATTCACTATATAAACTGAAAAATGTTTGAAGATTTTGCTTTCCTTTGAATCACTTAATGAATATTTGGTTGTAGTCGCACTGTTTCTGAGAACTGCTGTACATCTGTGTTGCATGGAGTCAACCAACTTCTGGCACCTGTGATCAGGTATTCCAGCCCAGGATGATTGGACTACATTCCACAGTTCTTCTCTATTTCTTGGTTTTGCCTCAGAAACTGCATTTTTGATGTCACCCCACAAGTTTTCTATTGGATTAAGATCCGGGGATTGGGCTGGCCATTCCATAACGTCAATCTTGTTGGTCTGGAACCAAGATGTTGCACGTTTACTGGTGTTTTTGGGGTCGTTGTCTTGTTGGAACACCCATTTCAAGGGCATTTCCTCTTCAACATAAGGCAGCATGACCTCTTCAAGTATTCTGATGTATTCAAACTGATCCATGATCCCTGGTATGCGATAAATAGGCCCAACACCGTAGTATGAGAAACATCCCCATATCATGATGCTTGCACCACCATGCTTCACTGTCTTCACAGTGTACTGTGGCTTGAATTCAGTGTTTGGGGGTCATCTGACAAACTGTCTCCGCCCACTAGACCCAAAAAGAACAATCTTACTTTCATCAGTCCACAAAATGTTGCGCCATTTCTCTTTAGGCCAGTCAATGCGCTCTTTGGCAAATTGTAACCTCTTCAGCACGTCTTTTTTTCAACAGTGGGACTTTGCGGGGGCTTCTTGCAGATAGCTTGGCTTCACATAGGCGTCTAATTGTAACAGTCCTCACAGGTAACTTTACACCTTCTTTGATCTTCCTGGAGCTGATTGTTGGCTGAGTCCTTGCCATTTTGGCTATTCTTCTATCCATTCGAATGGTAGTTTTTCGCTTTCTTCCATGTCTTTCAGGTTTTAGTTGCCATTTTAAAGAATTTGCGATCATTTTAGCTGAGCTGCCTATAATTTTCTGCACTTCTATATATGTTTTCCCCTCTCCAATCAACTTTTTAATCAAGGTACGCTGTTCTTCTGAACAATGTCTGGAACGACCCATTTTCCTCAGAATTTCAGAGAGAAATGCACTGTAACCAGCATGTACAACATTTGCTGCCTTCCTTCCTTAAATAAGGGCAATAATTGCCACCTGTTTTTCAAAGAATGAATGACCTCACTAATAGAACTCCACACTGCTATTATTTTGAACATGCCCCTTTCAATTAGTGATTCAATTACACAGAATCAGCAGCATGCATGTCATGACTGTTGGGTCTGTTGGATTTCTATTACTCTACTACACCTGCTAGTAAATTATTTGCCATGTAGAAATATCATTTCTACCAAAAACAGTGATTGATCCGGTTAGTGATGTCTGACTGCTATTATTTTGAAAACAACTGTATTTCTGTCAATACCTATATATACCTGGGTATACACTATATTGCCAAATCATTGGATTCAGGTGTTCCAATCCCCTCCATGGCCACAGGTGTATAAAATCAAGCACCTAGGCATGCAGACTGCTTCTACAAACATTTGTGAAAGAATGGGTCGCTCTCAAGAGCTCAGTGAATTCAAGCATGGTCCCGTAATAGGTTGCCACCTGTGCAATAAGTCCATCCGTGACATTTCCTGGCTACTAACTATTCCACGGTCAACTGTTATTATAACAAAGTGGAAGCAACTGGGAACAACAGCAACTAAACCACAAAGTTATAGGCCACATAAAATGACAGAGCGGGGTCAGCGCATAGCCTTAGTTCCAGTGAAGGGAACTCATAGGGCATCAGCATACCAAGACATTTTGGCCAATTTCATGCTCCCAACTTTGTGGGAAGAATTTGGGGATGGCCCCTTCCTGTTCCAACAAGACTGCGCACCAGTGCACAAAGCAAGGTCCATAAAGACATGGATGAGCAAGTCTGGGGTGGAGGAACTTGTCTGGTCTGCACAGAGTCCTAACCTCAACCCCATAGAACACCTTTGGGATGAATTAGACTGGAGACTGCGAGCCAGGCCTTCTCGTCTGTGAGGTCTTCTGGAAGAATGGTCAAACGTTCCCATGGACAAAGACTGGGATGCCATTAAAGTTCATGTTCATGTGCATGTAAAGGCAGGCGTTCCAATACATTTGGCAATATAGTGTATGTGCACAATTCCACCAGAACTCCTATTGGGCCCTTTGCTGATAACATCTGTTTGTACATTGGATGTATGTGCTATCATTAATCTTTTCTTATAAAGCTTATATTATTACTATGCTAGTAAGCATCCATATACTTATGCTTAATGTTATATGCTGGTTGCAGTAGTTCCTCTACTCCCAACTACTTTGAATAGATTACCGGTTAATTTCCAAAGAAGGGAATCCCCTCTGTTCACTGAGACCCTGTCCTGGGTGGAGGCACTGCCAACTTTATTATCAACCCACTCTTCCACTTAGCGAAGGGTCTTGCCCACTTATTTGCATTATCCTGTTTGGACAGCGACATTTCTCATACCCCCCAAAAAAAGAGGGGCTACATTAAAGCGTTACTAAACCCACAATAGTAAAATCAGTCTGTGTATGCAGTAAAGCATGATTGTTATACTCACTGTGGAACTTAAGGGGTTAATCCTTCGCATTGTGTAAAAAGGATGTTTGATCCCATCTTCTCTGATCCTCCCCTTCTTCTACTGTCCCCAATCCATCTCCTGATAGTACAGAGACTTGGGGGCAAGCTGCACATGCTCAGTTTTGTGTGTCTTGCTAAGGAGCCTTTTTTTGGAGGGGAGGGTGCATGTGATTAGCACAGGGCCAATCAGCACTGTTCAGACAGAGGGGCCGGGGTTATGCAGCCTCACAGGACAATCAGAGGAGATTGAAAACTCCTCCTACAAACTTTAACCGGTGCTCTGCTGGACACTGATAGAAGTCACAAGATTGAATAAAATAAACTTATATATAAATATATATATAAAATCGAGCGCAGTATGAGGATGTAGATAGGGTAGCTGCTGGCACTAAAAGGCACCTCGTGAACCTCCAGAGTAATGGTAAAGTTTAAGTTAGCGCTGCACTTTCATATTTTACCAAGTCACAAGATTGCTCTAACTGCTGATAAGAAAAGATATCTAGCAGTTTATATTTACTATAATAATTGCATTTCCATGTTGTGTGTACTGTGGAAGACCAGATATAGTGAATGCAGGGTCCGGGGATACCAGATATAGTGAATACAGGGTCCAGGGAGACCGGATATAGTGAATGCAGTGTCCGGGGAGACCAGATATAGTGAATGCAGGGTCCGAGGAGACCAGATATAGTGAATACAGGGTCTGGGGAGACCAGATATAGTGAATGCAGGGTCCGGGGAGACCAGATATAGTGAATGCAGGGTCCGGGGAGAGCGGATATAGTGAATGCAGGGTCCTGGGTTTAGTAACACTTTCAATTAGAAAAAAATGTTTTTTTTTATCTGAGAGTGTGTTATTACTTGGCAGTACCATACCAGGAGGCCTAAATTGAACTTGTATTAGATATTTGTTCTCATATCATTATATTAGGCAATAGTGCCTATATTTTCCAAACCCCCATGACATCATATTTAGTGATCATATCTTATATTTGGTACCAGAAGTTGGGTATTTATAAATCCTTACTATAGCTACACTTGGTAGCAGTAGAGTAGCACTGTAGTGAAGTGTGTGTGGCTCCAATGTCTAGTAACACTGTGGTACTGGGTTCAGTTTCTGTTGACATGCTTTGTGTATCAAAACCAACACTTGGATGCTGTGCACTTTCCTAAAGAGGGAGAAGTAGCACAAGGAGCTAATCTGTTCATGTGATGACATAGAGCATTCTAATAAAGGGAGAAAGCAGAGTGACAGAGAGATGACCTCATCACTGTGCTGCTTTTCCTTTCACTGTCCAGTCAAAGACTGGCGGTGGGTCCGAAGATGACCCTGGCTTCAAGGAAGAAGGATGAATGAGGCTGATCATCAGACTGAGTGCAACTAGTGACAGAAAAGAAGTACTACAGGGAAAACCTCTGGATCGAGGTCAATATTGCAAAAAAAGCTACTTTTTCATTTAATATTTTCAATGGACCATTCATTGTGATCTTATTTTTGGCTACAGTTCTGCTTTCAATTTATAGCTGCTCATGAACTGTATTGCCACTGACCTATGGAGATCAGCAGGAAGAACTAATAAGCCCTGTGGGAAACAGATGACATTGACACACCCGGAAGTGTCGGTTTCCAAAAGGACTTCAGGAGATGATTCTACAGCATTATAGGCAGCAGTGCTTTGAAATAGATCGTATGGGCTTTAAGATTTGGTACTTATTTGACAGGGTTGCCTAAAAGTGTTGTCACCAACCTGATATGATCCAGACAGACAGCCCAACAGCAATGGATGGTCCTTAGAAGGATATACACAATTTCTTGATCCTTCAGGCTGGTATATACAGTTCTTATACATTGTTCTGATTCTGAACTTATTTGTTCGTCCTGAGCTGCCCTTTATCAAGTTAAGTTGCAACCAATTAATTCAAACAGTGTAACATATCCCAAAATGGCAGGGAAGGATAAGTAAGTTCTAAAAGTTACTAATATTTTTTTTCTTTGCTCTTTCATTCACTTAGGATCATGATCTATGTGCATCAGGATGATCCACATTGTCTGCTTGTCCTCGTTTTTACAGATATTTAGGCTGGAAGATGGAGCAAATGTCAGCACACAGCATACCATTCATTGGGCAATGTCACTTATTGTTGGATGTGAAGATAAAATGATTTATACTTACAATGCCTCACTGGTCAGCTGCTCACTCTGCTGTAACAATAAGCACATGTTCACGCATGCTTTAAAAATGAGACGATAGAAAGGGACAATAGGGACATTTACCAGGGGAATGGCAGACATGGGGTTGTCTGCTTCCACAGCTCAGGAACCAAACAAACTCCTTGAAGAACCTTCAAAGGCCACTGCAAATATAGTAGGAATAAATATTAAAGGGGAACAACAGTCTATTGTTTTCTTTTATACATGTCAACAAGAGCTTAAAGTGGAGTTCCAGCCATTTTTGTGTTTATTAAAAGTCAGCAGCTACAAAACCTGTAGCTTCTGACTTTTAACCTCTTGTGCGGACTCCCGACGTCTGGGCCTTGACGCCGAGTGGCTGCACATTTGCGTGCAATTAAGAAAACCATATGTGCTGAGAGCACGCGCCCTGCACGCCCCCAGCACGCATGTCTGGTACTCATGGAAAGATCCCAATTTCCTCTTTCGATCGGAACCTTTCCCGATCATGTAACCGACGTGACTGTGAATCACGGTGGTCACATGACCCTAAAACCCTGCCCTGCCTCCCGGCTTCTGAAACCCTTAAAGGGCCAGGATGCAACGCGCCAAGGGGTTAATAAACACACACTTACCTATCACAGGGTCCAGCAATGTTCTCACCACACCATCCCTTCTCCCCTTCTCTCCTCCACAGCATCTCAACTCTGGGCACCAGGGTGTGACAGCTTGCGGCTTCACAGTCTGGTGCCCACTGCGCATGTGCAAGTCGCGCCGAGCCTCCTAATTGGTCCGGCAGCCTTCTGGGACCTGTGAAAGCTCCCAGGAGACTGCGGCAGGGAGGAGGGGGCCAAACCTCCGTCTTACTTCGCCGTGGCAAACTGAGCCAGAAGTGGGAGCGGGTACCTGTCAAAAATAGGTATCCACTCCCCCCTCCTCTCTAAAGGTGCAAAATATGGCAGTGCAGGGGGGAAGGAGGCAAATAAGCACAGTTTCCGCTTTTTAGTGGAACTCCGCTTTAAGAAGAATTCCAGGTATAGCAATTCTTACATGGTTACAATGTTTTAACTTGGACCAAGCTTGCAAATAGCATACCTGTGGGATCTCTGCAGAAGCTGAAAAACCCTGAAGAAGGCACACCTACTCTAGTGATCTCCACTAGCTTCCATGTCCCATGCCGAATGCAGCCCCATCTCTCCATTTCACCAAATCAGAAGATGCAAAGCATTCTCCGAATGGGCCCCGTGCTGAGCTGCTGACCTTTTGTATTCAGAATGCAGCACGTCAAGCACTTGGAATGGGACTTGGCAGCAAGTAGAGATCACTGGAGTAGCGGTGTCTACTGCAGTGATTTCCAATTTCTAGAGCAGTGGTGGTCAACTGGAAAACGATAGAGGGCTTCAAGTGCGGCCCCATTACCTCCAGAGGGCCACACAATAGCAGAGCATTTTCCCACCTTCACGCGCCAAAATTTTGGTCCTGCTACATTTTTTGTAGTATATTGCAATCCGCACTGAAGAAGTTGAAGTACAATAAGCAATAGCATTGATGCCAGTGGGTACAATAATAAGCCCCAACATTGGTGTCAGTGAGTGCAACAATATACCCCAACATTGGTGTCAGTGGACACAGTAAAAATCCCTCTCAGTGTTAAGGCCCACATGCTGAGAGGTCGCATATACGCGAACCGCTGGTGTCAATAGGTTAAATAAAGTGCCTAATTAGAGAAGGATCCTATAGGTGTATGTATTTCAAATACTGTAATTGGATTGAAGAGCCTCTTTAAAGCCCAACTCCAGACAAGAAAAAGTTCTCCTATACATATTGTCCAGGGACACCCAGAGAGCTTACACTCACCCAATTCTCCTCTTCAGCACTCCCCCATCCAGTGGTGGACTGTTCCAGATGTCCTCACATCCAGATCAGGTCTGTGGGCTGACATCAGGAACAGTCCACCACACAAGATCGCTAGACCACGTGGGGGGTAGGACGCACAGGGGATAGTCTTGTGTGGGGAGTATCAGAGGATTAGGTAAGTATATCTACCTTCTACAATTCCCTAGACAAACCAGTGTTAACCCTTGCAGTGTAGTCAAAGCCTCACTGCAAGGGAAAACTTTTTTTTGCCCAGAGATGGGCTTTAAAGAAATAGTTAAGTCCACTGTTTTTTGTGGGTTTTTTTTAGGGGCCTCAAATGGGTTATGCCACAATGTGCTAGTATGCACTGCATATTAGTGCATTATGGCAGAGGTACCTGTCAAACGGTGCCCTCCAGTGCTGCGGTGTGATTGATCCAGCAGTACCCGAACACTTCCATCTTCTCCTGGCCTTCCTTCCAGATTCTGTGCCTTTTGACCGCTTGAATGGCTAGGCTGCGATTATGTCACTTCTGCGCACGTGGGATTTACATAGCTGCGGCACAGATCTGGGGTAAATGTGCGCTAAACTGCGCATGTGCAGCTCAGTGTACATGATGGCTTGCAGGCAGAAGACAGAATTTATGACAGAAGAGACTGATAGGGTCTCTTCTGTCATAAATACCCTGCCTGTCAGCGATTTTTAAAAATGGAGTTTACTACAACGTTAAGCACACTGCAGATACCTGATTGGTCAGATCATAAGCAATTTTACTGTCACAGCACTTCTCTCCATAACAGCAGTTGAGTTATACAAATGAAAATCGATTTACATGAACTTGTGGAAGCTAACTGAAAGGATCTAGATAACTTCCATTTTGTATTATGTACGCCATTTTAAGTATTAAGTATTAAGTTAGTTTTTGTAGAGATATTAGAAGTTTAATGAAACTGTTTTTGGTTGTTCAAGGATGTATCAACAGAAGCTAACACGACCCTGACAATGTCTTTGTCTGTCTGTTTTCCCTAAAAGTTAGCCAAAACAATTTGTACCAAGAAATGTATATGTCATGTTTCATGTAGTTAGCTCATGATGGAAAGTTACAAGTTACAGTTTTGAAACTCGCTCCCCCCCCCTCCCTTATTATTATCTGCAGTCTATATAATCTTATTAATGTCTAATAAACTTTGAACATCTCTGAACATTAGCTGTCGTGATTTCCGTGTTCAAGGGGTGTTCCCAGAATTCTGCTGATAAACCAGGAATCTCTCCACGGACCGGGGGTCTCTGAGGGGAAAAGAAAATCATTCCTTTCAGCTGGGGGCTCGGCCCGGGATGACCACCCACCTCACTTGGTAAGTAAACCTTTTGTCTTTTTATGACTAAAAGCTCTTTCTTGCCCTGTGTTGAGGGAAGGTCTTGAATCATTCTGTATTGTCTATATAGACCCGTGATAACCTGTAGCTGCTTTTGGTAAAGCAGACTTAACTCTTTGGTAAGAGTTACAAAATAGTGCACTATAATATAAAAAAAAGGTGTTTTGGTAAACACAGTTCTCTGGTAGAACACACTGTTTTTGGTAAAACAGTGAAGAGATAACTTTTGGGAAGTTATCAAGAGGTTAATAAGTCTGTGGAGCAGATTCTGGTCTATCTGTCTTTTGCTTTTTCTTTCTGTTGCGTAGAAGTATAAGATAATTTGTTGTGTGGAACAAAATAAGATTTTAAGCTAAAATTGTTTTATCCACTGTCTAAATATGGGTCAAGGAGGTAGTT